ACTCCCCAACACAACTTCATGCATGCACAGTCACTCATGCATATGAGCATACACATGCTCATGTGTTTACATACACACGCACACACACACACACCCTCCCTTCTCTGATGGTCCAGTTCCTTTTCTTGTTAGACTTTTCTTAGGTTAGTACCCAGATTCTGTGACATTTCAGAGGTGGCCAGGGGAACACCACCCATAATTAGAACTAGTGAACCAATTTGTTGAAAGTGGTTTATTGTCACCCATCCTCTAAAATATGGAGAATACCAGCTACTTCAGAATCACCCCTAAATGGAAAGGTCCCATTGTATGCGGGACTACTGGAAATAAAACTCCAATTACAGCCTACTGTGTGCTCAGCCCACTCCCGGGAAATATATGCAGACTCTATCTAATTGAACCTTCACCCTTTCCTAAGGGAGGTGTTATTCCTGGAAGAGGAAATGAAAGTTAGAGAAGGCTGAGTTCTTGGCAGGGCCACCCAGCTTGTCAGTGGAGGAGTTGATATTGGATGGTTTCACTTATATGCGGACTATAGAGAAACCAAACAAAGGGTCGGGTCTGGAAAAAAGACAAAACTAGCAAGCTGACCATAGAACTGAGGAATTCTCAGCAGGGGTCAGGGCAGGAGGGGGTCAAAAGCCTTCACTGCACTAACAGCTCCACTGTGTTTTACCTGCAGGCAACTTTACGAGTCTCAGATTAACCTGGGGTTGCCAGGAATAAGAACTCTCAGTTCATCTTACATCATTTACATATATATGTATATAATATGTGTGTACATATATATCCATGTATATATAAGCTTACAGTGTACAAGATGTATGTATACATTGTATGTGTGACATGTTTTATAGTACATAGATATTACATACATCATGAATATTATAGATACAAATATATAGTATATAATAAAAATGAATATATATTTATAACCTATCAGCTATATATTAATTATATGGTTCTAAATGAATGTAATTGATTTTATAAAATTTAATAAATATTATCAAAGATGAATATTATTACTAAATTACTTAATTAAATATTCAGTTTTAATTTCTAAAGCAGTTCATATCTCTCTCTACATGTAACCTACATGAGTAAAACTTTTGGAGACCCATGCTAAGTCTGAGGCATGTAAAGTGGTCCTGAAATCTGAAAGCTTTCTGGCTTTCCAAACTGCACTGGGAAGTGCTTGAAGGTAAAGTTTTACCCAGCACATGAACAGCTGAATTTCTTTATTCTTCTGTTCTCTCAGGGTTTGTGTCTTTCCCATGAGACTCATCACACTGAATGAGTTGTGCATGTCTCTGTTGGACTCACCAGGTACAAATTTCTTGAGAGGAGACACTTTGCTTGGCTAACCACTATTTAATGATCTCCTGGTGTGTTGTGTTTAATGGGTATTCAGCAAGCATGTGAAATGCTAATGCATGGATTAGCAGTGGACTAGGACTCAAAAAGCTATTTGTGTTAATGAATCTATCAAACCTCCTTTGTCCATATTCCTTCCAAAATAGCCATTGTGAGGCTCTATACTTATTCTGATAAACTATTGCCTAATAAATGTTTGCATCTTGTGCTTTATAATTGCATTCATCATAGACCAAGACTAGGAAGGTGTAAAAAGGAATATATTCTTAGTATGGATAAATACTTTCCTTCTGGGTAAGTTTAACTTTTTGAAACTGTTGAAGCCATCTAAAAAAGAGCTTGAACAGCATGGCTAGTGTCCTGAATTCTTCATATGGTTCTAAAAGCAATTCCAAAATGTGCAATACATATATTTTGCCATGAGTCACTGTGTTTGTGATACTCTCTGCATTTTTAAGCTCCTGCTCTGAGTGCTGTACTGCTATGTTCCTTTTTGGTTTCCCCAAGATGCTTTGGCAGTAAGTCAAGGAATATAGCTATGGACGCTTTAATCTCAGGCCTTGAGTTACCCACAGGCTGTTGGAGGGGACATTTTGGCTCAGGACTAATTGCCTAAATGTTGGCCATTTGCCTGCAGAGATTGAAAACAGAAAAGTTGCCCTGAATGATGTGAAAGAAAGGTTTGTTAGGAAATACATGGACTGGAGCATTTACAATTTTATTTAGGCTTCAGATCTCTTGTTCTTTTCACATGTTTCTTCGCAGGCTCCCCATTTTGTCGATCTGGTCATGGATCGAAGCACTGATGCTTTGCCAGTGAAGCACTTGCTATTATTAGCTTCATTCTTTGGTGAGTCAGGAAAAAAGAGGTTTCAATCACTCCTAGTTAGAGCCTGTAACAAAGGTTATTAATATTAGATTTGCTGCCTACTAAAGCAGACAGACCCTATTCTGGCCATGATAGAATAAGAAAGTGAAAGAACACTCAACTGTCAGTCCCCTTCTGCATCCTTCTACCTGTCCCAGCAACTCCTGTCAGTCTCCTTTGTGTGGGTCTCGCTGTTCCTCCAGCTCCTGGACAGTCTTTTGACTTGACATTCTGTTCTGCTTATTTAACTTTGTCTACCAGCTCCAGACCTGAACACCATGAAGCAAAATTAGCCAATGCTTCACATTCAGGATTTGTGTCAATAGAAGATATATGATATATTGCATTGTAATATTTAACCATGTCCTCAATTTACTGCTGGTTATCTTGAGTCTGTTAATTTTGAGTCACACTTCTCATCTGAATTTTCCCTTGGAGCTAATTTTTAATAGGCTTTTAACAAACGTTTGTTCAATCTTATTTCAAATCATGAGACTTCTAGGGACATTTACCATATCTATGGTTAAAAGTTTTGTATCTTTCAATTTTTAGAAGTGTCTAAAGTCTGATTCATAGCTGTTACGATAAACTAGTTAACCAAGTGTTGAAGCATAATTTTCAGACAATTAAAATGACTCTCATACAAGTATTATATAGAGCTAGTGCATGGGCCAAAGAATGACTAAAGTCATTAATGAGGGAGCCAGGAGATTGAAAAAGCCAGGTCAAAGCAGAATAAGAGGTATTGAAATTTGTATATAGTCCAGGAAAGAAAGAATACTAGAAGGCTGAAAAGTCAGATACAAAACTGCTTTATGTCCTAATGTCCTTCTCGACAATGCAATCACAACTTTTGGAATTACCTTTTCTACTGGAAAGAATTCATTTGCACAAGTGAACTTTCAATGTTACGTACTCTGAAGGAAATGTAGAGTCCACGCAGTTGAAGATCTGGGATAGGGGGTGTCTCACTGCACACAGAATTAGAACAAAGTGGCATGCTATTTTATTTTTATTTACCTAAACATATTAGTATGATGAAGGTGCTTTAGTTGTCTGTACACTTTCAATCATTTCTGAGATCTCCCATACCCAAAGTCACACTGATGGATGACAGGTCTAAAGTGGTTTTCTATTGCTGCTAACTCATCCATTACTAATCGTATTAGGCTGTTAATTCCCAGTAGTAGACACAGTTTCCAAATGTTGAATGACTGTTATTCAATGAAACCATGGTGTTATCCTTATTCTAAAAGAAGGTACCTCCTTTGAACTTAATTTGTATAACACATTTTGACTACCACAACATGAGTCGCATCTTTAATGCATCTTTTCATGAAGACACACATTTGAATGGGAATTACTGGTGAGATGGACCACTTCCTCTGTCACAAACTATAAATCGACGATTATATGAAATGTTATGAGCAGAATGTTTATTCAGCCTTTTCTCTCAAGAAAAGAACTGCAATTGCTTAGGACCAAAGGGTAAAATACGAAGTACAAACTAAGTAGTTAAGCAAACTTGGGGATAGAATACATATGGCCATCTTTAGAGGAAATGAGAAATGATCTCACCAACCAAAAGCGGTATCATAATGTATATATTCTAGCACTTTTTCTCTTTTTGTTGAAAATTTTGCCATCAAATTTTTTTCTATTAAAGATCTCTGACTATAATTCCTTTTTGAAGTCTTAAAAGATATAAGCTAATGTCAGTTACTTTATTTCCATCACTATCTTTGCGTTCCCATTTCCAAAGTGCCCTTCTCTACTATGACATGTTAGGTTTTGTTACTGGAAAAAAGCAAGAATTTTCATGTGCTGAAATTCATCTCTTTAGGGCAGCGCGCAAAAATAAATAAATAAACGCTTGTTTTCTCTGACAACGGATCATCTGCATGTCTCCCGTTGCCAAGTCTTTGGAGGGTTCTTTGCAGACTTAGGAGGTCTCCCTTCTTCTCTAATTATCCCTATTCTTTGGGGCCAGACCCCCTGCCTTGCACAACCCAGAGGGGAACCCGTGAGCTTTTTAAAAACAGCCCAATTTCTCGCCTGTGGAGAAGTGAAGAGTGCCCCGCCCCCAACTATGAAAAGAAGGATTTGACAGTTTCAGTGACTTCAAATCAAAGATTTAAGTCTCAAAGCGCCCACCATCCAGGACCCCCGCCAAGGCTCACGAACCCACACCCAAGCTGTCCTAAGTGCTTTGGACCGGCCCGGGAATCCTCGTCCCAGTCCACAGTTCCTGCGTGTCTGTACGCAGAATTCACAGAGGACCTGTGTTACTTCCTTTGCGAAGAAACAGAATTGCCGTGAAAATTTAGGAGAAAAACATTTCAGTTTTGCCCCCAAAAGAAGGGAAGCATGTACCCTACCACCCCTGAGAAAAAGAACTTTCAGGGGCAAAGGAGCGAATAGGTAATTTAGAAGAAAAACAGAAAGTGGTCTCCAAGTGCCCTGGACTTCCCTTGGAGTTGGGGGAATTGGGGACGCCTGGGCGCTTTGTCTTTGCAGTTGCAGAAAAATTAAATGGAGAACACGAAGCCTGAGGCTTCTCGGATCCTTTCCCGACCAAACGCGGGTGATTTCGTGCGGGGCATTTTCATATTTTTCCCCTTTTGTGAAGTGGAACAAACACAACTTGGGCGCACCGCGGCGGCTCGGAGCCTGCCAGCCAGGCGGGCGAGCGGAGCACCAATCAGCGCGCGCCTGCGCTCTATATATACGGCGCCCGGCCCGCGCAGCACATCGGCGTTTCGCCACTTGCACCCGAGTCCAGACTTCGACATGTCGGAGACCGCTCCCGCCGCTCCCGCCGCCGCGCCCCCCGCGGAGAAGGCCCCGGTGAAGAAGAAGGCGACCAAGAAGCCGGCCGGGGCGCGCCGCAAGGCGTCCGGGCCCCCGGTGTCCGAGCTCATCACCAAGGCTGTCGCCGCCTCCAAGGAGCGCAGCGGCGTGTCCCTGGCCGCGCTCAAGAAGGCGCTGGCGGCCGCGGGCTACGACGTGGAGAAGAACAACAGCCGCATCAAGCTCGGCCTCAAGAGCCTGGTGAGCAAGGGCACCCTGGTGCAGACCAAGGGCACCGGCGCCTCGGGCTCCTTCAAGCTCAACAAGAAGGCGGCCTCCGGGGACGCCAAGCCCAAGGCCAAGAAGGCGGGCGGCGCGGCCAAGCCCAAGAAGGCTGCTGGGGCGGCTAAGAAGGCTAAGAAGCCCGCGGGGGCGGCCACGCCCAAGAAGGCGGTGAAGAAGACCCCAAAGAAAGCCAAGAAGCCGGCGGGGGCTGTGGCCAAGAAAGTAGCCAAGAGTCCAAAGAAGGCGAAGGCTGCCAAGCCCAAGAAGGCTGCCAAGAGCGCGGCTAAGGCAGTGAAGCCCAAGGCCGCCAAGCCCAAGGTTGCCAAGCCCAAGAAGGCGGCATCCAAAAAGAAGTAGGCTGCCAAAACGCTTGCTTCTAAAACCCAAAAAGGCTCTTTTCAGAGCCACCACTCTCTCAAGAAAAAGAGCTTAACACGCATTATATAATTCTGCCCTCCTTTGCAAGAGCCCTTTCGAGCTTTGCGAAAATAAGCGGGGCCGTCTGCCACGGGGAATGGCGCCAAACACCCCGGAAAGGGCAGACCGGCGTCTCGGCCCCCGGCGCGCCCTGCAGCTCGCCCTTCGCCCTGCGGGGCTCCGGGCGGGCGCAGCGGGGCGCTGGCGGCGTCTGTGGACTGGGGCCGTCTGCCCGCCCCGCCCCGCGCTGGGAATGGCAGAAACTCACTAGTGAAACCAGCCAGTTCTTTGGGATCCCGATTGGACTGAAGACTCATTTCAAAAGTCCCGCCTCGCTGGCGGGTTGGCCGGCTCGTGCAGCCCGTCACTCCCAGCCTGTGCGCAATTGGTGAGTGGCAGGGCCCCTGTCGTCTCTGCTACACTCCTGTTTTGCTTCTGTTGAGTTTTGGTCCTTTTCTCTCCAGACTTTAGTGTACGGCGTGTGTTTAATATTTAACGTTTTTCAAAATCAGGTTGCTAGTCTCGGCGTTAGGATCCCGTCCGGGGTGGGGGTGGGGGTGGCAAGTGGGTGCGGCCCTCTGCCCTGTTTTGTTTTTTTTCTATTAATTCCCCTTTGCTTTGGCAGCAACAGCAAAACTCACTTTAAAGCAGCTGCAGCAGCAGCAAGGAAACTTACAGCCAAGGAGAGACTAGATCCCAGGGATCCTGTATCGGGCAGCTTTGGAGTAAAGTACGGGTTTGAAAACGCAAACACAACTTTAGTCGGCCATTTTGTCCTGGCAGGCGGGTCACTAGTGCTCCATTTAGAAAAACTGAAACATTCAGGGTGCTTGAAATGCCTTGTTCATTCCAAATGTTTCTACACGAGAACAGGGGACTGATAATGCGTTTGGGTGAAGGTGATGTCTAATAAAGGGCTTCAGTTTCCATTCGTAGCGCTGTCAGTGCGTTCTTCATTTCACTGTTTCTCCGGGATAGAGGAAGTCCAGCGTCCTGTTTTTGATCCTGGCGGACACAGATTTTCTTGAAACAGGTTCTAGGGGATTCCTAAGACCTGGAGTTCCATCCCTGCGCGGCGCCCACCCCCTCAGCTGAACTGAGAAAGTTTAATCTTCGTATTTTTCAGAATCAGGAATTGAAAAAGCTTCTTTGAGAAAACAACATCCAAAAAGAAAGGCACTAGCTCCATGGTTTCTTCAGTAATTTGTCGTGAAATTTACAGTAAAAGTCCTGTGTTTGCTGTTTAATATAGGGGAGCCATCTTCCCACTCCCCAAGACCATTTATAACTTCTATTTCTACCTCTTAATCCCCGCCCCACCCCAACCTGAGGTGCCTTCTTTATGATCATATGCGATGCCTCCTTTATAATAAGCTAAATTCCATAGGTAAGTGAACTAGTTCTTGGTTTTCTACTTTCTTCTTTTGGTCTTTGGTCATTTCTACGATGAAATCTCAATTTTAAGTATGTTAAATATATTTACAGTTCTGTCTTCAATGTTGAGAATACACGATCCATTGTAGATAATCAAATAATTGAATATTCAATAAGCAGATTTTATAATGTAACTTTAATAGCTGATACAGCTAATTCTCTCTTACCTTTCTTTTTCAGAATTTCCTGGTTATTTTTTGTTCAATTAGTTTTGTTTTTCCTTATGTACTTTAAGATACTTCCCTCTCCCTACCATGCCCCTTCCATCCCTGCTCCTTAATTTAAAAACCCATACCACCCTATTGGTAGTTTTATTGGGAGTGTATCATATTTAGAAATTTATTTGGGGAGATGCATTTTCTTACGAAAATTTTATACTTTTCAATTTGTTCATATATTGTATACCTGTTGAGGATATTTTAATTTTTCTCCAAATATGTCTTCATATTTTTTATTACCTTTATTCCCAGATATCCTATCCTATCCTCTGTGTTGCTGCTGGAAATCGCCACCTATGAGATTTTAGATTCCTTGAGCCACTAGCCCTTAAAGTGTACTTTCAAGATGCTCAGTTAATTAAGGGATCTATGCATGAGTGAACTAATAATTTCTAGAACAGTGTTGTTAATAGCCACATATGGAAGGAAAAATGAAATAGGAGGTGAAATCATTTCCTAATATAATTCATGAACCCAATATACCCCAAATATTATGATTCAACACAAAATAAGTGCAAAAATGCTTGAGATTAAATTTAACATCTTTTTTTTGTTTCTCATGAAGTCTTTGCAATATGTGTGTCTTTTGCATATACAGCTTATATCTCTGTTTCCACTAGCCCATTTCGAGAGTTCAATTAAAGTGTATTTGGCTCTTGGACAACATGAAGAATGAAACTAAAATGCCCTGTGATCTCAAATAGGCTGGTGTTCATCTTTGGTTTAAAATTTGCTAACCAGTATGTCTTAATAGCCACTGTCATCTGTGGAGTGACATTTCAGCAAGGAAGGTCTCTGAAAAAGGAATGGTTGTTGATTGGTCCAGAGATCACTAGGCCAATATGAACCTATTAAAATTTTTCTGTTCAAAAACTGCAATTTAGTTACAGAAACTGGAGTGTACTGATGGTAAGGGCTGGGAGTTGCCTTCTTAGACACTGTGTAGGAGAAACCAAGAGATCTGGTGGAGAAAAAGACTAGAATGGAGCCAACGTGCAGAGAACAGCGGAGAGCTGCAATGTCTGGGGCCTGACATCTCCCTAGTTACTGGTTCTTTGAACCATCTGCATGTCTGCCACTGCGGCTGCCTTATTAATTCAGATTGGGCCAAGCTACAAAATGACTAAGACTCTCCCAATGTACTCACAATTATGGTGAGAGCGCCATGCATACTCTAGAATCCCTTTCTCCTTCAGATATTTTCAAGTCCACCCATCTGGTTGATTTTTGCACCAAAGCTAAGCATTAGACAGTGGTAGAATCAAACTAAGCAAAGAGAGGTGATTTTCTAATTTTCCCTCAAACTTTGGGATGTCAATTTATAGGAAGTACAATTGATCCCAAGTTGAATGTGTCCTGCAAATATATTTGCATAGATTAAGCATGTCCTTTGCTTTCAAATGAAAAGTAGTTCTAAAAATCTAATATATAAAAATCTGTTAATTTTGCCGAGGCTTTAGTGTTCAAGAATGTTTTCTCAGTGTTGTCCATATTTTTTAATTTTATTCCATTACCTCACAATTGTTCAGATCATTGACTGGCTTTCGTCTGAGTCGTTCATTTGACTTGAAACATTAACCATGTTAGGAAACTATCTTTGTCTCAATTATATTTAGTTCATGAAACCTGCATTTTACTTTGACATTAACATCTCAACATTTGACATTTCTACATCTCATTTATTATAAAATATGACAATAGCAATAACATTAAAATAATTGCCCCAACATGGCTCATTAGGCAAAATGGCAACGAATACTGCATAAGCTAAATTGTTGACTGATAATTCAACCATGAAATTCATAAAATGTCTGTGTATGATCAAAGTATAACAGAAATTAAAGGCTGCTAGGAATGCATGATTTGAATCTTTTCTGTATAGACACAGGAAAAGCTCTAATATCATTTCTTCTATGCCTGGGGAAATGTGGAAAGTAACTTTGTGGTTGAAATCCATGCCAGAGATGAACAGGTCCAGTGCAAGACTGGATTACACCATTAGAGGATTTCAGAAGGGAACAGGGATTTAGGGCAGAAAGGTAGCAATAACAGCATTGGGTTAGCTTTTCTTTGAGCACTAATTTAGAATGTGGCAAACACTGCTGCTAACTGCTTTACATCTTTTCAAACACATTCTGGATATAGCACTTTTGAGATGGTGCAACCATTACTGAAAATTTGATCATTACTGAGAATTGGTGATTTAGGGATATAGCTAACTCCTGATCAGAGATCCAATATAATTATTCTCTCTATACTAGTGCTATTCCTCAGAAATGTGAGTCAATTATGCAATTCAAAATTTTCCAGTAGCCACCTTTTTAAAATTTTCCAGTAGCCACATTTTTAAAAATAAAAAATAAATCTATTGTAATATTTTAGTTTCTATGATCAAATTATTATTTCAATGAGTAACCTAATGTAAAGTATTAATGAGATTTAAAATTACTTTTTTTCATGCTACGTCTTTAAGATCTAGTGTGTATTTTACACATAAAGCACATCATAATTTGGTCTAGCTCTGTATTAAGTGTTTAATAGTCAGGCATTGCTAGTAGCCTTGTGCGGGGCAGCTCTGTAGTAAATGCTATGGAGAAGACACAAGCAAATACTTGCTCTGGAGCAAAATCCAGAGATTTCCAAGGAAAGGATTATTCTGGCCTGGTTCTGAGGTCTAGACAGCATCTCTAAGACCTGATGCTTCTTAGGGTCCTTTTACCTTTGTCTCATGTTGGGCCTCTAACAGGAGGCCTCTGATAACAGAATTTAACCAGCCTCCCCTCTGAGGCTGTCCTACTGCTGTGACTTAGTAGCCACCCAAGACAAAATTAGATCTGTTCATTCATGCCTTTTCCATCAATCTCATTGAAGAGAAGACATTTAGAGTGTGGGCTTATGAATAGAGACAGTGAGAAAACATGTCCTTTCAGAAAGTTACGAGAATTGCATATAAGTCAGGCCAATCAGTTCACATGGTACTTGACCAATGGAAAACTATTAATGTCAGCTATTGTACTCACTTTTCTAATGAATCCATGATTTTAGTTTCTGTGATGGAACCCTCTGTAAAGGAAGTGGATAATCAGTACAGAACAGACATATAACACCCCACAAAGTTATCCCAGGGAGTTCACCTTGATGGCGAAAGTGTTCAACTTGCTCAGAGTAGACTTTGTATCCTCCCCCAAGATTTTTCCTGCTGGTATCTCTCTGAGCTTGGTTCTATCATCCAAAGCATCAAGCAAAGTAAGAGTCTATCTCAGGCCAGAAAACTGTCCAGGGCCAGTGATTCTAAACCCCTAGTTTGCTCTGCTAAGGCTTTTTAGAAGAGTAGAGGGACAGAGAAGACCATATAGAATGTGGAAAAGCATAGCCAGTATCCACAGTCGGATATACCTTACCTTGAGGCTAACAAAACTCAAATGTCTGGCCCCCTAACCCCAAGGCCTTAGGAAGGCCCCTACTAGTATTTCTACATGGTCTCTTAAAATTCTAATTTTATTTAAATAATAACTTGTTAAAACTTATTTCTTCTCTAGTTTGTCTTCTAATATAATTCACCTTTTCTCTGATTATGTTGGGATCCTACTGGGCATATCTGGGATTTGAATAAGAAAAAATTTCGTTAAATATATATTTAGTTAGGGGTTGAAATGTATAATGTGGTTGGCAGACGTGTTCATATATAACTCAATTGTTGCTAAGAATGACTTCAAGGAAAAGTATGCTCACTGACAGGTTCATCTGGATTCTGAGCAAGATGATGCAGGATTAGATGTCATATGATGACATCTATGTATTTGTTGGGGAGGAGAGAAAATGTTCCCCTTTGCATTCTTTTTGGGGTACTCAATTAACATCAGATAGATTAGTGGGAGAAAAAAAATCAATTATATCTGGTCAGGGATTCAACATAGATAATATCCAACATAAGTGAGTAAAAATGGGCTATCTTGAGCTCAGGAATGGGATAGGGGCAGGCCTGGGACTTCAAAGAGAGGGGAGAGGGGCCACATCTTGAGAAGGGTGACTCAGGACGAAGACCAGTTGCTCTGTAATTAGATGTTTGCCCATATACAAAAGTTTTTGAGATAGAAAATTTATTTCTAGTAATAGCCCTACTTCTGGGTAATACCCCCAATACTTATTCTTCTAAGTAGTTTAAGGGAATGGTATATTTTCCTCTTGTATGCTACAGGGTCTCAGTTGACCTCAGCTGGAATAGTGTGCATGCCAAAGTGACCCGTCTAAGGAACCATATCCTCAACATTTTAAGGAAGGCCTATTTGAACATCTTAGGGAGGCCTATCCTTCATGTTCACAGCACTCAGCACTGGGAATGAATGGTTAGGAAAGAACCAAGATTTGAAATGTCCAGAACCGTTACAGGGGAAGGGAGAGGGGCATTCTAGATACCCCAAAGCTGCCTGCTCTAAATAGGTTCTGCCACCCACCACATCAAGACAAAACATATAAGACCTTTAATGGAAAGGAACTTTAACACCATTAGTGTGCAATACAGAAAAGACAAAGAATATAGTTGCAAAATCAAGCACCCAAAGTTACCCATCCCCTCGTGGGTAAATGTCCCGTCAAACAGGGTTGGCCCAAAGCAAGGCCGAAAAGCTTTACCTTCTGGTGGGTACCCACAGAAAAGGGTCAGAAAGAGCCAGACAAGTCTGGAAGGAAAAGAGAAAAACCAAAATCAAGATAAAAGCTGCCATAGTTAACCTCCCCATGGGTCTCTTACCCACATCTCTCCGAACCAGTCCAGGACCAAAAAGCCAGCGCAGCTTCTTCACGTCTCTTTGCTCCATGTGCCTCCTCCTTGCTTCCTTTTCTCTTCTCCAGCTTCTCCCTGCTCAGCTCCACCCTCCCTTGGGTGGGGCACAGAAACAGGTAGCTCCCCTTTTCCTGGGGACCACCCTGTTACAAAACCAGAAGCCAAATTGCAAAGAAGTTTTCCAATTTTTACAACTCACATGTCAAAACATATTGACAGATTTCCCAAATTTGAAAACAATCCAAAAAATTCACTTCACATTAAAACAAATTGTGATCAGCTGTAAATTCTCTACCCACTACCTGAAATGACAAAAATATTTTACTTGAAGATGGAGTATGTAAAGTTATAGAAAAATATATTACAATACAAAAGTTAATAAAACATGATTTTATCTGAATTTTGTGACTATAATTCATTTTGAAAACTTAGAACTTGTTGACTTGTTTTCTGCTACATTTACTTTATACCCAGTTTTATATTTGCAATTTTCTGTTGTTTTAGGTGCAGCTCATTAAGCTTTAAGCTTAGAAAACCGATATATATATATCTCGTCAGTTAATTATACTACATTTAGAAAATTAAAAAAATAAACACCTTAAATTTGTACTTTTATGTCGAGGTTACGGGGTAAAACAGCTCTGTAATTCCTATCCTTTATTCTCTAAACCTCATTGATAGTGAGTGGAACTTGGACATTGTTCTGCAAAACGTTGTGCCTGTTTTGAGTACAGAGGTCATTTTCTTCTGAGCTACAATTCCACGTAAAGTGAAACCACAATATAGTAGGGCTATGGGGTAATATACGTATAGTGGCGCTTATTTTATATTTAGTTGTGAATTACGTAAGCACAAACAATATGTATCAGAGGATTTTTGTACTTAAGAGACATAGCTAGCATGAAATGTAGCATCTTAAATTTAAAAACCACAATACCCCAAATGCTTAATTTACTCTGTACCCTCAGGGGTTACTGTTACCTCATTGATAACCTGTGGTTACTGTTACCTCATTGATAACCTGTCAAGTTACAACTGCTTTCAAGTGAAATTGTGGGTGGCTCTGAAAAGAGCCTTTTTTCAAGTACAAGGCAAATGTGTTTGTTTTACGCGCGCTCCCCGCGGATGCGGCGCGCCAGCTGGATGTCCTTGGGCATGATGGTGACGCGCTTGGCGTGGATGGCGCACAGGTTGGTGTCCTCGAACAGCCCCACCAGGTAGGCCTCGCACGCCTCCTGCAGCGCCATCACGGCCGAGCTCTGGAAGCGCAGGTCGGTCTTGAAGTCCTGCGCGATCTCGCGCACCAGCCGCTGGAACGGCAGCTTGCGGATCAGCAGCTCCGTGGACTTCTGGTAGCGGCGGATCTCGCGCAGCGCCACGGTGCCCGGCCGGTAGCGGTGGGGCTTCTTCACGCCGCCCGTGGCCGGCGCGCTCTTGCGGGCCGCCTTGGTGGCCAGCTGCTTGCGCGGCGCCTTGCCGCCGGTGGACTTGCGAGCGGTCTGCTTGGTACGAGCCATCTGGAAACACTGCAGACGTAGTAGTAGTCTGTGGCAAGAGAAGCAAAGTCGCCCTTAAATATAGTTAGAAGCATTCTGATTGGGTTGATAATTTTTCAAAAGTCCCGCGCGATAAAACTATTGGCTGAAGTCTGACCCTGTCTGATTGGTTCATTACTAGACAATCCTATTGGACGAATTACACCGTCCACCCTTATTTATTTTTTTTTTTGGTAACTGGAAACTGAAGGAATTTCAACTGCTGTTTCATTGTTAAGTAGTGTGCATAACGAGCTATTCCCGGACCAAGGTAAGCATGACTTCTGATTCAGTAATTTTGAGTGAGGCCTGATTCTTGATGAACTCATAATTACTGATCGTGGTCGTCTGCACAGCAAATTGGAATGTTTCCAGTATACTGGGATTCCTTTTAATTAAATCTGGAACCCACTGGACTGGCACCTCCAGCTCTTTGACCTTTTGTATTTCAAAACCTATTTTTCTTTCTTGGAAACTATATAGTGGGACATGGTAGAACACACCGAACTTAGAATGTTCGCACATTTATTAGACTAAGTGGCTAAGGTGGTATTCTAATTCAAAATGACCAACCGGGGCCTTTTGTTACCCTGAAACAAAAACTGCCTTGCTACTTTTTATCTTGGTGCTAGTGTGACGTTCCTGCACCGCCTCCTTTCAGCTATTAGATTTACTTTGTATTAAATACCTATTACAAACAAGCAGTGATCAACAGCTTTCCTTGTGACCGTGTGGATGGCTCTGAAAAGAGCCTTTGGTAGTTGAGATAATGCTCAGTCGTAGGTTTACTTGCCCTTGGCCTTGTGGTGGCTCTCGGTCTTCTTGGGCAGCAGCACGGCCTGGATGTTGGGGAGGACGCCGCCCTGCGCGATGGTCACCTTGCCCAGCAGCTTGTTGAGCTCCTCGTCGTTGCGGATGGCCAGCTGCAGGTGGCGCGGGATGATGCGCGTCTTCTTGTTGTCGCGCGCCGCGTTGCCCGCCAGCTCCAGGATCTCGGCCGTCAGGTACTCCAGCACCGCGGCCAGGTACACCGGCGCGCCGGCGCCCACCCGCTCGGAGTAGTTGCCCTTGCGCAGCAGGCGGTGCACGCGGCCCACGGGGAACTGCAGCCCCGCCCGCGAGGAGCGAGTCTTGGCCTTTGCGCGAGCTTTGCCACCCTGTTTCCCTCGTCCAGACATAGCTGCTACTTGATAGCTAAAAAACGAAATTTGTGCTTTCTGCTGTCTCCAAAAGCCTTTTTATACACAGTGCCGGGATACACCAGTAAGCTCTCTGATTGGTCAAACTCTTTTGCGTTCTAGCCAATAGGAAAACAGAATGTGAAGCCCTTATTTACATATACCTCTCCCCTTACCCAACGCTGCCTAAAGTTATCCAATCAGAAGCATCAGATCTTGATTCCTTATTTGCATTGACGAAGTATATATTTGGACTGTGACTTCTTCATGTCACCCTTTTCTGTACACAAGTTGTCATTGTGTCTATCTCTTAATAAAAATCATGCCTGAGCCCTCCAAATCGGCTCCGGCTCCTAAAAAAGGATCTAAAAAAGCCATCACCAAGGCTCAGAAAAAAGATGGCAAGAAGCGCAAGCGCAGCCGCAAGGAGAGCTACTCCATCTACGTATACAAGGTGCTGAAGCAGGTGCACCCCGACACGGGCATCTCGTCCAAGGCCATGGGCATCATGAACTCGTTCGTCAACGACATCTTCGAGCGCATCGCGGGCGAGGCGTCCCGCCTGGCGCACTACAACAAGCGCTCGACCATCACGTCGCGGGAGATCCAGACGGCCGTGCGCCTGCTGCTGCCCGGGGAGCTGGCCAAGCACGCCGTGTCCGAGGGCACCAAGGCCGTCACCAAGTACACCAGCTCCAAGTAAATGCCTCTGTAGGCAATGATTGATTCAAAGGCTCTTTTCAGAGCCACCTACTGTGTTACAAGAGAGCTGTATAACTGCCTTTTCTTAGCGGAGTAACTGGAAGACCCTATACTACCAGTGTTATTATGTTGGGCCGGGCCGGGCCGGGCCGGGCCGGGCCGGGCACTTTCTCCCGGATCCTGAGCTCTTAATTGCTAAAAATAATGGGTTTACAGTGAAATCGCCACTGTTCCTGTGGGCACTTCTCTGGGGGTATATACTATATCAGCTCTTTTTGCACAAGCGATCCCTCTAATTTCCTAATAAAATTGCTTACGGATGACAACAGTGAGTTTAAAGTCCTTTCAATGTTCTTGCATCTCAGAAAGCAGGGCTCCGATTTCCTGGGTAATTCACCTTTTGAAGGGAGGGAAGAATGATCCTGCACCTCTGGCCGTGACAAAGGGTTTGAATTTCCCGCCCTTGGACATCTAGCGCCACCTCCTGGCTGAGTGGGAGAATCCCCTTTGGAGAGGAGAAAGATTTATTTACTGCTTTTTCTTTGTATTTTTTCCCCCAAACCTGGGGACTCCAAAAATACTCGCATAACAAGAAAGACAGGTTGAGGCAAAAGAGTGGGGACAAGTCTAAATCGGGTTAGGGAGAGGTGAAGGAGATCAACATATATGGACTGCCTATTACAAAGGAGTAAAGGTTTTCCTTTGGTTTATGAGCATCTGTGGAGGTGACAAAGATATCTTTGGATGAATAAAATTTAAAGTAGAATTCCTCATAGAGGAATATTTTAAGAGAAAATTTAAAGCATATTTTTCCAGATCCCACTTTGAAATATTATGATGCATATGGCATCATATCCAAAAATAAAGTGTGAAAGCAAGGCTTGTCTTTAAAATTATACGTATTTTATAGATTGTAAAAAGACACACTGCCTCCAGGCAGGGTCGAATTCAGGCCACGGTTTAAGAAATCACTGAAGTTGAGGTTCTTCCCTGGAAGAGATCTGGATAGTAGTATTAGAGCTAAAGTCATTGACTTAAGTCTTCTGAGCTACCTGAGAAACTCTTACCATTGCCTGAACGACCAAAAAGAGTGAAGACTTCTCAGACTTAGAGTCATTACAGAAATAGTAGTCTATCCCTGTGGCGGAACAAGTTATTTCACAGCATGTAGTTTCTGAGTCTTCCTCAACTCTCCTTTATCCCATTTACTCTAGAATGTACAGTTATGTAAACTCTCCACGTATGTAATTATATTTGTTCATTTTTTCCTACTGATCTGTGTGATAATTGTTTGCTCCATCCACCCAAGAAGAACCTAGAAGGTAGTAAAGGTAAATTCCCCATCGGCCTCTACAGCTGCTATAACAAAAATAGTGTAGATTGAGGCGCTTAAACAATAAAGTTATTCTCATAGTTTTAAAAGCTCAGAAGTCCAACAAGATCAAGGCATTTAAAGGTTCTGTGTCTGGTGCAAGCCAGTTTCCTCATTCTTCTTGCTGTGTTCTTACAGGGAGAAAGGGGCAAGCAAGCTCTCTGTGGTGTCTTATAGAGTTACTAATCCCATTCATGAGGGCAGAGCCCACTTGGGTATCTGTTCTACCTAATCACCTACCAGAAGCCCCACCTGATGCCATCACATTGGGCATTAGTGTTTCAACATACGTTTTGGGGGGGTATGAACATTCTATTCATCACACCAAGTTACAAAAAATACATAGGATTTATGCTATATATATTGTTTTTTACTACATATTCCTAAAGTGCCTCCTTCAATGAATGTTTACACGCTAATCAATACTGTTTTGCAGACTTGTACAAATTCCCTTTGAACAGTGGATAGATATTGTCAGTCTTTTAAATCATTTCGCACCTGAGACATGGGCAATAAAATCTTCCTTGTGCCCCAAGGGAACAAGTCTTTTACTTCTTCACTTTTTATTACCTCTAGGCCCAACCCCATTATCTTGTCAATTCTTTACACATTTGTTTGTCTTTTGTAATAAATGAATTATCTGGTGAGCAACCGGATCTCTTGAGTTTTGTGAGCTGCTCTAAAAATGTAATTGAACATAAGAAGGCATTTATGGGAATCTCTAACCCGCAGTCAGGTGTCAGATGCCCAGAAAATAGCTTTCTACATATGCAAATTAAGGATGCAGTTTCTGATTTCCTATTGGGTAGTTAATGATAGCCAGTAGGAAAATTTCACACAGCCTACCTTGGTTACTATAGATGATTCTGGGTTTATGACTGGCCTAAGAAGTAGAGAACAGTCTGCGATGTTATGCCCTTGTAGAATCTGTTCTCGATCTGGGCAGATAGTGTGAAAATTGAGTTGAAATCTGGAACACTGCTTGTTGGTGTGGGGAAGTCAACACACACACACATTGCACTGGGCTGAAGGAAATCTACACAAGAACAAAAATATACAAATTGTAATTATTTTTTTACATGTAGACGGGAGTTTTCACAAGAAAAATTACCCACAAAAACAGTTACTTGAGTGCTTATAAACTGAATTGGACAAACTAGTAAATTGTAACAAGGCAAAGGGGTTGAGCTATGGTTTAACAAGGTTAGCTTGTACAGATTACTCTCAGCCCCACCTTTCCATCTTTCAGGTATAGGGAAGACATTTTTCACATGGGAATTTCATCTCATGCTTTTAAGGAAAAGAAAGAAGCTGATATTCTATTGTAGCCACTGATTTTCAGGTAAATTTTCTTTTTAATTGTTAATATGATAGAGCAATATATTCTAGGGTGGTGTCTTCCAGGCTTCTTCAACAATAACCTCATTGCTAGTTTTCCCTCAAGTATATTGAAGTCACATTATAGTTTTGTGATTTATAAGCAGACATGTTTTTCTCATCATACAGACCAATGGGCATCAGATTGTCTTACTTTCACTGCTCCTGAAGTTTGAATTGTTACTGGGGGAACAACTACTGTTCCTATCCTATTTATATGTAAGAGTTTATCCCCTTTATCTCCCTACCCAACCTCTGTCTTGTACATATTTGTCAAAGTGAAGTACCTAGAATTTACTGATTTTGAGAACTTGCTGACAAGATTTCATCATCAAACCATTTTCACAGTGTATGCCAAATGCCCATTGAATTGCAAGACTCAGGGTGACTAGATTTATTCTCATCCGTGGTTCAATGGAATTTAGATTCTTGATATTGTGACCATCTCAATCCTGCTTCTGGCTTTTTGAAGTAGGTTTTAATCTTGACTTTGTAAGGGAGTAAAACTCTACACTGCAAAAAAATTTTTCTGCAAAAAGTTTATTTTATGGGAGGGGCGCTAAAGACTGGCTAGAATTTACAGTCTATGTTTATACTTTCTCTGTAAGGACCTCTCCCTGGAAGCCCTACTCTTTTCAATGGAGAAGGGAGTGTGGGGTCAATCTCTCCAAAAGGGTCAGCTAGACATTCCTCAATAGGCCAAGAGTAGTCTTTTAGTCATCCTAGTGTGGGAACTAGAGGTCAATGGAGGCACTGTGAGCCTCTCAATGTCTATGACCATCATTTTAAAAAGACCAATTGTTTTGAGTTGAGAGCAGTGAGGGCCCTGAAGGGTAAGAGAATCTTCTGTTGTTGCCCAAATACTTTGCCCTCCCCAAATTTAAAAACAAATCATCATGTCCTAAGCTTCTGCTCATTTTATAATTGGAATATTTATTTCCTCTGACTTTTATGACCTGGAAGAATGTAGTTTGGAATCTCTTCCAGTTCTAGGTTTATCAGTAAACATGTTCTCTGAGAATCTCATTTTTGTCAGTAAAGATGAGGCCACTCCCTTCTTATCTGTCATGTGAAGTCTCTTTTCATTGTCCTTCATGTTCCAGCTCCCAAAACACGGAACAAATATTTCTCACCTGCTCCATTATTCTTTAAAATTTATAATCATGTAAAATCTGCATACATAAGGGATGATTTATTTTGCCATCTCCATGCCCCCAAAACAGAACTATATTTGCATACCTGTTATTTGTTTCCCTAGTAATTGCCATAACTGACTTTTCCCTTTCTCCCTTCAACCTTCCTTGTCTTAGTTAAACTATTTAGGATGGCATCTACTGCCACCTGGGTGAGATACTCAGTCATACTGTTTCTCTCCCGTGTATACAAGACACATATGTGTTACTTTTAGGCTTCTTTTTGGCTTTATTTCTCTTATCAACCTGTCTGATGCTAGATTATTTGCCTGCCTAGAAGAACCCTGAGGGGAATGGAGTGATTTCCTTTGCACCTCAACAGCTTCTATTTTACCTAGCCCTCTAGACACCCAGTGCTCCATCCAAAATGTTTTACAGCTTGATCAGGAAATGAGAATATTTCTACTTTGGGGGCCCTTGACTTCACATTTCCCAGCTTTGAATGCCTCTGGCTTTTTTGGGGAAGTGTTTATTCTTCCTACTTCGTACCTCCTTCAGGTCTGAACTGAAATTGTTACAGGACAGGGAGAGGGGCAACCCAAACCCTGCAAACCTGCCTATTTTAAATGGGTTCTGCCATCCGCCGCATCAACACAAAACATATGAGACTTTAATGGGAAGGAACTTTAATGAAACTAGGAAACAAAACAGGAAAGGCAAAGAGTCTAGTTTCTAAATGAAGCACCCAAAGTTACCCGTCCCCTCATGGGTAAATGTCCATCTATATAGGATCGGTCCAGAGCAAGGCCTCAAAGCCTGCCACAAGTCTAAAGCATCTTCCAGTGGGGACCCACAGAAAAGGGTCAGAAACAACCAAACAAGCCCGGAAGGAAAAGAGCAAAATCAAAATCAAGATAAAAGCTGCCATTGTCACCTTCCCACGGGTCTCACCCACATCTGTGTCACCCAGTCCACGACCAAAAGACAAGCGCAGTTTCTTCATGTGTCTCTAGGCTCCACGCACCTCCTCCAGGTCTCCTGGCTCCATCCTGCTTCCTTCCTTCCTCAGTCTCCTCTGCAGCCTCTTTTCCTGCTCAGCTCCACCCTCCATTTGGGTGGGGCAGGGAACCTGGAACCTCCCCTTTTCCTGGGGACCACCCTGTTACAAAATGACACTCTCCTGGTGACATTTCCCCTGCCCATCTCTGTGTCACATAATCTCCTTCCTTCCTTTTTTTCCCCTTCATAGCACTCTTTACCAAAAAATATACTCTAAGCTTTTACTATGAATTTAGTTTTCTGTGCACCTCTTACCACTATGAAATCATCACAATGGCACTGGTAGATGTCTGTTTCACTCACTGGTAGGTTCCCTGGACCTAGAACATTCTGGCTTTTATCAGGTGCTTGGTAACTATATGTCGAGTAAATGCTGGGTGCATTTCTCCCAACTCAAGCTCTCTTGATTCTTCTGATTTACAGATCCTTCAGATTCACTCTTCTCATCCTTGCGCATTAATGTATTGATTAAAGCTTTATTTTTGGATGCAGGACTATGCACTACTATTTCATCATCAGTCATTTAAGTCTTCCTCTTTAAAAGTCTTGTCTTTAAGATGGCATCTGGGAATTTTTTTTTTTTTAACAACTTCATGATGGTTGTAGCAACATTTCAACGACACTGTCAGTGGTTATTGATGTTAATTGCTATAAGTGGTGATGAAAATTTTGATAGAAGATGAAAAGGAGTTTGAATATTTTTAATAGAAAAATTAATAAAAGAAAAAAAAACCCTCTAAATAAGGCAAAAGGAAAAAATACATGTCCAGATTCTTTGGATGAAAACAAAGTTTTCTGACAGAGATGGTTTAGGATCCGATTTTGTCACACTCAGCTCTTGTTCCTTCCACCATTCTATCTAGAATCAGTTGACATTTAGGCGTGAGCCTGCAAAAGTCCCCCAATAATTGCCTACCTACTTATGGGCACCTTCTACTGCTATCTCAGAGATCATAGGAAAACAACAAGATTTCTCTCAGCACTCTTGATTTTATATTCCTCCATGTGACTGCTTACAACCAGGTAAATACTCGGTGGTAACGTTAGTATAGTATTTTAAAATGTACACAGTAATTTCGAAAATTTTTCTGCTATGGGATGAATGGTCTCTCATTTCCTAAGAGTCTTAAAATTCCTTGTGATTGTATGCTGCAATATTCTTAGTCCTCTAACTATGAGGGATGCGGTGAGATATGGAGGGTGACTGTAGTATTCTGGAATAACTAGAATTTCCGTGTGCTTTGGGCAAATGAGAAAAAAGAGGGAAGGTAGGAGGATTGGGAATAATACTGAGTAATGATGAGAAAGACTTCCATTCATAAGCTAGGAGTCTTTGGTCTCTAACTCATATGTTTCAAGGGGAAGGTAAATAATAGCTGTAGGTTTGTCAGCTTTGCAATCTCTCAAATTACCACAGTACCTGTTAAACGCTACCTATGTGGAACTTGTTCTGAGTTCATTCCTGCCCAAAATCATGAGTCACACTACCCAAAAAGTGCCAGTGACCAAAAGTTACAACAAAGATCATCACTTTTACTTCTGATTTCATTTAAAAATAGTATTTCAAAACACTCAAATTGATCCACTTTACAGGATTAAAGTATAAACCCATTAGGACCTCCCTGGTGGCACACGCGGTTGAGCACCTCACTGTGAAGCTGCCTGCAGCCTCTGCAGCTCAGGTTAGATCCCGGCCTGCCAGGGAGAAACCCACACGGCCTAGCAGACATCTCCTGTCTCCACTGTCTCCCTCAGCAGTGTCTGCCTGTTCTGCTCCCCACTCTGTTTCTAGTGAATCCTCTCACCCTCCCGCACATCTGGCCTGTACCCCGGTTCTTGTATAAATAAATAAACCTTTTTTTTTAAAAAAAAAAAAAAAAAAAAAAAAAAGCATAAACCCATTAGATCAGATTAGATACAGGAAACAAACCCCTCACATGAGACTTAAGGGTTATATGCAAATGAAGAATGCAAGTTCTGGTTTCCCATTGGTTTATTCTTGTTAGCCAATAAGAGAATGCCTCACAGCCTACCTCCAGTTAGTATAAATAATGCGCTCACACGCGCTTCTGATGTGTTCAGGTTACCTTCTTTATTGAGGCGCTTAATACTTTTCTCTTTTCAAGATGTCGGGTCGTGGAAAACAAGGAGGCAAAGCTCGCGCCAAGGCCAAGACGCGCTCCTCGCGGGCCGGGCTGCAGTTCCCCGTGGGCCGCGTGCACCGCCTGCTGCGCAAGGGCAACTACTCCGAGCGGGTGGGCGCCGGCGCGCCGGTGTACCTGGCCGCGGTGCTGGAGTACCTGACGGCCGAGATCCTGGAGCTGGCGGGCAACGCGGCGCGCGACAACAAGAAGACGCGCATCATCCCGCGCCACCTGCAGCTGGCCATCCGCAACGACGAGGAGCTCAACAAGCTGCTGGGCCGCGTTACCATCGCGCAGGGTGGCGTTCTGCCCAACATCCAGGCCGTGCTGCTGCCGAAGAAAACCGAGAGCCACCACAAGGCCAAGGGCAAGTAAAGTCTTTTACACGGTGCTTTGTGTTCTCCAGCATCAAAAGTTCTCATAACGTACAAAGGCTCTTTTAAGAGCCACCCACCTTTTCCAGTATCAGAGCTGTCATGCTGTCATGCTTCTCGGGGCTTTATGGTGACATGTCACTAATGGTAAAACACCAGTGAGATGCATACTTTGCAAAACCCTCAGGGTGAAAAAGAACGGGGGTTTCCATGAGTTTAATAACAGAAGTGTGGTTACTACAGTCCTTAACCTGTGGGTTTTAGTCCCAGTTACAGGAACAATTTAATGTTCCATCCATAAAGATTTTCTTGCAACACCAGGTTCACTTTATGGACCCATGGGAAAGCATGAAAGTGGCGGTCACTGAGTTTTGAAGGATTAACCAACATGTTTAGGAATACTCGTCTAATTCTAGATTCTCATGAAAGCTAATTCTACATTGAAGTTTATGAAAACACCTTTGCAAAGAAACTTTGAAATCCCATATTTATCACTTATAGATCAAGATAATTTTACTGTTTGTGCACAGTATTCGTGCCACACCCAAGAAAATTCTGAAATCCCTTGAGGAAACACGTAAATGTTTCTAAGCACCCATCAATAGTTTTCTTAGCTTATTCATTAGAATAGTGAAATCACCCATTGGGAATTTCCGCGAAGCGAAGTGATTACCTAGCCTTAAATTTTAAGATCGAAGCTTGCAGTGTAGGATTTCTGTCCACAGCGAAGGGGCAGGGTAAATAAAATGACGTCAATGCTGGTGAAGGGTAGGATTGAGGGCCCATTCACCAATCCAAAGGCAGTTCTTAATCCGGGCACTCCCAGCAGATGGGCCAATCCGGGCAAAGCGCGGGGATTTTTGAATGTCCTTGTGTCCAATAGTTGTTATTCTGGGGCTATAAATGAAGGTGGCTGCTCAGTGTCTTTCACACCCGTCAGTAAAGACGATTGCCGTGCTGTAAGGATGGCCCGCACCAAGCAGACCGCTCGCAAGTCCACCGGCGGCAAGGCGCCGCGCAAGCAGCTGGCCACCAAGGCGGCCCGCAAGAGCGCGCCGGCCACGGGCGGCGTGAAGAAGCCCCACCGCTACCGGCCGGGCACCGTGGCGCTGCGCGAGATCCGCCGCTACCAGAAGTCCACGGAGCTGCTGATCCGCAAGCTGCCGTTCCAGCGGCTGGTGCGCGAAATCGCGCAGGACTTTAAGACCGACCTGCGCTTCCAGAGCTCGGCCGTGATGGCGCTGCAGGAGGCGTGCGAGGCCTACCTGGTGGGGCTGTTCGAGGACACCAACCTGTGCGCCATCCACGCCAAGCGCGTCACCATCATGCCCAAGGACATCCAGCTGGCGCGCCGCATCCGCGGTGAGAGGGCGTAAATTGAACCTAGTGAGTGCCAGCTTGAAACCCAAAGGCTCTTTTCAGAGCCACCCAATTATTTCAACAAAAGCAGCTGTGATTTCTTTGGTTAAGTGTCCCCGTTTGTAATCTGTCCTGTTGTATGCTTCGGTAGCATGAGCCATGGAATGGGATGCTATGTTGCTTGCTTATATTTCATGTGCCCGCTTGCAATCATATTCCTTACATTGGTTTTGGCGAAGTTGAGGTTTCAGTACTCCAAAGACATTGATAAACTTGGCATTGTCTTTATGAGAGGAAAAATTACATTTAATAATTGCTTTAGCCTGATAACTAATAAAAGCTAGTGTTAAAGTACAAATCATCCTTCATTTCTAAAATGCCTGTTTATTCCTCACCCACACCTTTGTGCCTTAAGGTTTTTCAGTTGGTGCCCAATAACCTCAGAGATGTGAATCTTGCAACCTGGTAGAATCATGGGGATGATTTTAAATAAAATAAAAAAATTGTATGCCTTAGGTTTATTTGCATCCCTGGGCTTTAAATTTAAATCAGCTTTTTTCTTTTCTTTTTAAAGATTTATTTTTTATTTACACAGTCGCTGGGGTACAGACAGGCCAGATGCGGGGTGGGGGGAGGGGCTAGGATTCACCAGAGACAGTGGGGAACAGAACAGGCAGAAGGACCAACAGCACTGCTGAGGGGGGGAGCTTGCAAGACAGGAGAGGTACGGTGTGCCATGTGGGAATCTCCCTGGCTGGCCTGGAGTTAAACCCTCGCTGCAGTCTGTGGACAGCTTCACAGCGCTGTGCTCAACCCGCTGCACCACGGGTAGGCCCCTAAATCAGCTTTTAGTTTACCAAATATTTACAGTTTTAAAAGTTAAGGTTCAATATATGCCTGTTTTGTTTCACTGTTAACATTTTTCCAGGTTGGAACAGTCCTTTGTCACCCGGAGAAGTGTCTGTCAGAAGCTCCCATACCCTTGACTTAAACCTAGGTTACTTTGGGCCCTTGCTTTTACTTGCAGCTGAAGTGCAATTTTTTTTTTCATCATTACTGTTATGTTTGCTCTTATGTTCAGTGTTTGACTTTTTTCCCCAAATATTTTCTGTATCCATAGGAAGAGTAGTTTAAAGGTACAAGACTTAAGATAGTTTTTAAAAAATGAAAGGGCCTACTACTAACAAGGTCAGATGGGTGTGAGTGCGTAGTATGAGTAAAATGTGACTCAAATTGGCTGTTCCTCCTCCCTACCCACCCCAAATCTGTGAACTTAAAGTCTGCATTTGCTTCAGCCATTTGACAAAACAACTCCCCAGTGTCTAGGAAAAAACAGATTAGCTTCATCTCTTAGAGAAATACTGTGGAAGCTGGCAGCACAGGCATTGGGATACTATCTTTCAGAGCTCAAACCCAAGCTTTACCAAATATTGGGCCATTTTAGACAAATCATCTCATCAGAAAAGATAGAGGTAAACCTGGGATATGAGATGATTTTTTGACACAGCATTTTAGAAATGCTGCTAATTTTCCTGAACTGTGTACAATTTTCCCTTATATCACTGCATTTTTCAAAAGTTAAAATGAAAACAAACTTGACTTTCTAAATTTCCTTTTCATTTCACATTACTTAATTCCCTAAATTTTCCTCAGTTTATTAATAAAACCGGATATTTTTAAAGAATGGAAGAAATTCATATTTGTGAAGAAAATATATATTGACAAGTTTTGCCAGGAGTATATTACTAACATCTTAATATCAGCGCATCAGTCTTCTATTACTTTACATTAAGGGAGTGATGAGCTGAAAAGGAAAAGGAGGTATTGAAAGTACACGCTGTATTTTTCAATGGCTTTTGAAGGTTTTTCTGTTAGTTTTCCATTCACAAGCACCATGGAGTGATGCTAAGCAACATTCTAAGTGTACAGCTAATGCAGTTGCAGTCTAGAACTAGTTTGGCTTGTTACAGACTTGACTAAAAACAACCCAGACTCAGAGTGGAGGAGGAAGCCACTTCAGCATGTATTTTTCATATGTAAACTTTTAGCAGTCCTTCCAATCCTATCAGTGGAATTGAGTTAGTGAGTTACTGGAGATAAAGCCAGAAGACCGGGACAGGCCCAAAATGGAGTCGTTTATGCTAAGCCTCATGTCACCAAATTGAGACTTAATTACAACTCCATCTCTCCCAGAAAGGATTTAAACAAGTCAATCAGAAAGCATGCCGTCAGTACTAGTTAGGTAATCTGCCTGATAGAGCCCCACCACATCCCCTAAAGAAAAGTAAATTTATCATAAACAACCAACTTTTTTGTCAAGTATAACTTCCTTTTTCTGCTCCCTTATGGCTTTAAAAGTCTCCTTATGTGCAGTTTCTCAGAGTTCCTTTCTATCTGCTAGATTTTGCCAGTGCAAAGGTTATTATTGTATAATATTCTTTGATGGAATTACTGTGGAAATTATTGCCTTGTAGTCAGATTGGGTTGGTCTTCTAAGATCAATAATCTTTTCTGCCTTCATCTCTGGATGATATTCTTTTCTGACCTTGTAACAGGGTAGTCCCCAGGAAAGGGGGAGGTTCCCTGCCCCACCCAAGGGAGGGTGGAGCTGAGCAGGAAGAGGAGAAGCTGAAGAAGAGACTGAGGAAAGAAGCAGGATGGAGCCAGGAGACCTGGAGGAGGCACATGGAGCCTAGAGACACGTGAAGAAGCTGCGCTTGTCTTTTGGTCGTGGACGGGGTGACACAGATGTGGGTGAGACCCATGGGGAGGTGACAATGGCAGCTTTTATCTTGATGTTGATTTTGCTCTTTTCCTTCCGGGCTTGTCCAGTTGTTTGTGACCCTTTTCTGTGGGTCTCCACTGGAAGATGCTTTAGACTTGTGGCAGGCCTTGGGGCCTTGCTCTGGGCCAATCCCATATGGATGGACTTTTACCCACGAGGGGATGGGTAACTTTGGGTGCTTCATTTAGAAACTAGACTCTTTGCCTTACCTGTGTTGTTTCCTAGTTTAATTAAAGTTCCTTCCCATTAAAGTCTCCTATGTTTTGTGTTGATGCGGCGGATGGCAGAACCCATTTAGAATAGGCAGGTTTGTGGGGCTTGTGCTGCCCCTCTCCCTGTCCTATAACAACCTCACCTTAGATTTCTGGAAACTTCCATAGGTAGTTTATGCTCTATTAATCATTCCGATCTCGGGTTTGTCCTTGTGAGACCTTTTACCCTAAATTTTCTACATTGTTTCATCACTTACATTAGCTAAATCTTCACAAAAGTTCCCATAACTACTCTGGTTCTCCCAGTTTTGCAGAGGAAGAAGGGGAAGATCAGGTTTCAAGGTCACACAGTGTAAAGAAGGTATAATACACTTCCCTCTACCCTCTAATTTGTTAACTGAGACGCAGTAATAAGACATATTAATTTTTTTTAAAAATGCATTAACATATACCTTACATACAGGTGGGAGATAACCAGGAAAACTGAGTAAAATTTCCCCAAATTGACTCAAGACCCCACTCTAAATACCATCTTCAATTAAAGACAAAAGAAAGATGTTAGGGGCAGCAGTACTGTAGCTAGGTATACGAGGTAATCAGGAAATGCATGTTAAGCAGGGTAAGGCTGTTGGAAAATTAAGACCCTGCCATTTACAGTAAGTTTCAGTGACTCACAATGTTCCTAGAATAGAGGGAGACACAAAATTTGCAATGTTCTTTAAAAGTATAAATGTGTCTTACAAAAGACTGATTCTACTGTTTTTAGATTCTCCTGTGCCTGGTGTTTCTTAAAAGTAATAAGCTCAAAATAATTCTGATGGGTGGTTCATTGGACTATTGGGTGGTTCCTTGTGCCACCCTTGAGACCAAATTAGTAAGTATTTTGAGAGACCAAGTCTGAATTCCTATGGTCGTGTTTTGGAGTGGCAAATTCAACTACATTTCACACTCATTCCTTCCTGAATGAGAAAGCACAGAGATTTTCTGCCATAAGACATAAATCCCAGTTAAAATTATCACCCGAAGATACAGCTTCAGATTCAAACAGCAAAGGGAGGAGAAAAAAAAAATGAGCGGTCACAAGTGAACCTACTTACACCATGTTCCTCCTACAAAATTCTTGTTCTGTGCTCACAGGGGCGGAGCGAGGACAGGCTGCGGTTCCGCCTTTCGCGCCGGCGCTTTCGGTTCTCAATAAGGTCCGATACGGCCTGTATTTATACGTGACCCAGCACCCGGTCTCGGCACTTGCTGCGACTTAGCGGTGTTGCAGTAATCATGTCTGGCCGTGGCAAAGGCGGGAAGGGGCTCGGCAAGGGAGGCGCCAAGCGCCATCGCAAGGTGCTGCGCGACAACATCCAGGGCATCACCAAGCCCGCCATCCGCCGCCTGGCCCGGCGCGGCGGCGTCAAGCGCATCTCGGGGCTCATCTACGAGGAGACCCGCGGGGTGCTCAAGGTCTTCCTGGAGAACGTGATCCGCGACGCCGTCACCTACACCGAGCACGCCAAGCGCAAGACGGTGACGGCCATGGACGTGGTCTACGCGCTCAAGCGCCAGGGCCGCACCCTCTACGGCTTCGGCGGCTAAATCTGTTTTTCTTCCTTTTTCAACCCAAAGGCTCTTTTCAGAGCCGCCCACTTTCTCTTAAAAGAGCTGTGCGTGACTTGTGTGGGTGAGTAGTATAGTTACAGTTTCGGTTTGTCTCACAATTGAGCAGTTACTGGCCCTTTTCGCGCGGAGTTTTTCAGCCAGTCACCGTCAGCCGCTATCGGCCAATCAGGGTGCAGGGGCTGCTTGGAGGGGGACGGAGGGTGACGCCCGAAAGCCCGTGAGTGGCGTCTGGACCTGCATTCCTGCGTTCGGCTCTTCCCGGGAAGCTAAGGTAGGACATTGCCATAATTACTTTTACAGAAAGCCCCACGCCCCTGTGTTTGATGTCTGCACTTGGGTCCAGGCACGGTGATTGCCAGCCTTCTAAACCCGGTGGTCTCGGTTTTAAAGGTAGGTTGGCTTTGCTGATTTGCGTCCTAAAGCTCGGGACTCTGGCCAAGTAGGGTTTGCAATTTCCTAGTCACTGGATTAGGGGAGTGAGTTATAGTTCAAATCTTTAATTTTCTTTGAATTCCGGGCCCTCTGACATTTCCTAACTTGAGATTTTGGGGGAGAAGCTCCCCTCTCTTTGATCATAGTGGCTCTCAGGAGTCTGTACCACTGTCCCAGCTCATTTTCTTTTCTCTGCCTGCTGTAAATTGTAAGATTGTTTTTTTATGAATTCTTTAAACATTACAGTAGAACTACAAAAAGGTTTTAATACCTCTTTAAACATACCTTTATTTGCCCACTGATTAATTAGCTTTGTTTTAATGCTTCATAAAAGTAGTATAAACGAAGTTTGCTTCTTGTTATTCTGCTAACTTGTCTCAGATACTAGAGAGGAAAAGTGGAAAAGTAAGATTCTGGTGATCATTGGTTTATCTATGGTGGGATTAGAGGAGATAACTAAAAACCATTTATAGCAGCACATTATAATAGTAAATGAGAGACAATAAATTTTCATCAGAAAGAGTTGAATAAATGTATTCATAAAATTGTCTTAGTTCAGGCTACTGTAACAAATGCCATAGGGTGGGTGACTTAAATAACATTTAGTTCTCGCAGTTCTGGAGGCTGAGATGTCCATGGTCAGAATGCCAAAGGATTCAAACAGAGCAAAGTCAGTGTATGGTGAGGACCCAGTTCCTGCTGTAGACTCCTCTCCTCACTGCATCCTTCTGCAGCAGAAGGGAAGGGACCAGAGAGCTTTCTGGGGAGGGCGGGGGGGTCTCATAAAAAAGCACTAATCCTATTCATGAGTGCTCTAAACTCCTAGCATAATGACTTCTCAAGGACCCCACCTCATACCATCTGTCACGTTGGGACTTAGGATTTCAGCATATAAATTTTGAGTACAGATATAACCAACAGGATACTTCACAGCCTTGCTAAGAAACGGGGAAGCTGTACTCCATAATGTACTCTCCAGGGTCTTGACTTAGTTCTCAGGACCCTTTCTGTTCTTGTTGGCCTTGTCTAGTCTCCATATGTTCTATGAAACAGTTGATATTCAACAGGAGAGAATGCTATGGCCTGTTAGGTCTGCTCCCAGCAGTTTCTCATTCCCAGTGGTTGTTTGTAGAGGATGGTATTAATCTCTTCTCAAATCCATGTTTCCTTCCACCCACTTCAGTCTTCATAGCAAAACATACATACACTCCAAGAAAAATAATGTTTGAGATATAAAATCTCATCCCTGATCTCTAGACTTATCCAACTGCGTATTTGATATTTGTCCTTGGATATCTAATGGGCATTTCAAACTTGTGTGAAATAGATATCTTGACACAAATACCAAATCTGTTCTCTCTGCAGTATTCTTCACGTAAATTAATGGAATTCCAATCTCCCAGTAGCTGAGTTCAGAAACCTCGCAGTCCTGTTGACCTCTTAAAACTTTCATCCAACCCAGTCAGTTCTATCTTCAAAATCATTCAGATGGCAGCGACTCTGCTGCTGGCCTGACTATGCAGGTGCTTCACTTCACCAAACTTCTCCCTTTGCAAAGAGGCAGAGGCAGCTTTCCTTCCAAGGTTGCCCGCCTGGGACTATACAGGCATCTCTTGTAACAAACCTGTCCCTTCCAGGAGCAGTTCTTTCTGCCCACTTTTGTCTATGCAAACATTCTTTCCTTCCCTTCTCTTTTTATAATAAACCTGCCCTTTCGAATATAAATTTTAAAAAAATCAATCAGATCACCTATTGTCCAGAATGATAATGACTCCTAAGTAGTCTTTCTGCTTCTACTCTTGATATCCCCTACATCTTTTTCTCTACCCTGAAGCGACAGGGCAGATGTAAGATGACCAACAATCCAGTTTGCCTGAGTGAGGGGTTTCTGTGGATGTAGAACTCTCAGTGCTAAAACTTGAAAAGTTACATGCAAACAGGATGAGTTGGTTTTAGAAGGTCACCCCTGGCCATTGTCTGACCTCATTCACCATCACATTTCTTTGTCTACCGACCTCTTGGCTATTTCTGGAATGGACCAAGCATGTACCAGTGTCAGAGGTTTTGTACTTTACTTTTTTTTTTTTTTTAATATTTATTTATGCATACATGAACTGGGGTACAGGCCAGAGGTGTGGGCGGTGAGAGGATTCACCAGAGACAGAGAGGGGAGCAGAACAGGCAGATGGACTGAAATATACTGCAGAGGGGAGCAGCAGGGGAGACAGGAGAGGTCTGCTGTGCCATGTGGGTAGCTCCTTGGCTGGGGCTCAAACTCTGTGCTGCAGTAGCTGTGAATTGCTTCATAGTGCTGCATCTTAACCCCTTGTCCATCAGGGAGACCTTGTACTTTATTTTCTATAGGGAATAAAAATGTACCTCTCCTCTTAGAGTTTTCAGCAGGGTGAGTCTAAGAATTAAATTGACAAGCTAATAGAAGAAAAACATTGTGTGTGTGTGTGTGTGTGTGTGTGTGTGTGTGTTATGAGACACAGATACACTCACAAGGAAATGAAGACCTGAAGAATAGTTAGAATTGAGCATTTATATACCGCTTTGAACCAAGAGCAGTAAATTGTGAAAATACAAGGCCAGGGGTTGGACTAGGGTAACTAATCATGGAGAAGTAACTTGAAAGATCAGGGTTAGTTTACAAATTGGTTTGCCAGATTGCTCTGGGCCTCTACTCCCCTTTCCTGGTGATAAGAACATTACTTTCATCTGTATGGGAAAGACATCTTTTATATGCGGATTTTATCTCCTAATTTCATGGAGGAAAAAGAAAGGTCAGAATGACTTTTTTGCACCTACTGATTTTCAAGTGTCCATTCAAATTAATCTTTATGCCAAACTGGCACATTTGGGGTGACATTCTGCTACATTTCAATGAGTCTATACTTGATTTTAGACCTCACTTCATTCAGGCCTCAGCTCAATCACACCCCCTTTATGAAAGAGATCTTCCCTGGTCACCCTCTGAAATTCTGCCATTTTTAAAAAATAGTACATATATATTCCCACTTCTAACTATGTATGTGTATATTTTGTTTGTTGTTCTGTTTCCAGCTCAAATATAATTCCTTGAAAGTTGGGACCTTGTTTTGTCCCTGGGGTACCCTGAGCACCTGGAATAGGGATGACTCCAAGAGGTCACCAACAGAGGTTGTCTAATGAGTGCTTGTGTGAACTTTCTACACACCCAGGTCCTCCTCCACCCCCAGGCCCACCAGGTCCCCACCGCCCCCATGATCGATTCCCCATCTAGAATTCCTTGACCTGACACTGCCTGAATCTATCAGCATGACAGTTTTTCTCTAGAAGATCTAAGGGATGATGCACAAGTGACAAATTGGGCATTATCTTTGTTCAGAACAAGGATTTCACGTGTGGTAGGATTGAGAAAGGCTGAGATTTCCACCCAGGGTGGTGGCTATGAGTATATGAGTATGATACTATTATGAGATTAGCCTCCCCTTAAAAAGGTCCAGGATGTCCAGAGTAGGTCTTTTCCAATGTGTGTCAGCTTGGGATGAGGCATTAAGTTCAGTCGAGGTCCTGTGAACCTGTTACTATTACTTGAAAAATGCAGATTTAGCAGTATATCCAGAAATAAGTTTATTATTTTAAGGTGATATAGTGAAACAGTACAGGTCTGTCTTCCTGCCCCATCACATAAGCATTCCTATCTGTTGCATTTAATAAGTTTGTCTTCTTGCCTTCTAAGGAAAAGGAAGAACATCCCTAAGAGGATAATATGGATGGTAAACATCAGGTACTAGCAAAGCAAGCTGGCGCCCACCTGAAATCTTCACAGGCCTGCATCAAAAGGACATGCTGACCTTTGCCCATCTTCCTTTTGTTTGACTCCTTTGTATAAATACCCCTGCACTCTGCCAAAGAGCAGAACAGCAGTCTTTCAGTCTGTTGCCCTCTTCAGTTTGTCAGCAAATTAAACTACTTTCCTTCTCCTCAAACTCTTTCTTTTATTGGCTGAGGGAAACTAAGGCCGGCATTCGGTATCACTGATACACATCCAGAGGTAAGGTTTTGTTGACTTCCTCATCCTGTGAGGCCCCTCTTCTCTCCTTCATGCCCCAGGTTCCTCAGTACTGTATTCAACTCCTGGCTTGTCCCATTTTACTTCAGAATTTACAGCCATGTAAGTTCTCCAATGTATGTTATTAAATTTGTCTTTCCTCCACTAATCTGCCTGATGTTTACTTGTTCACCCAGCCCCCGAAGAACCCAGTGGTGTAGGGATAATGTTCCCTGTAACACCAACAAGGCTATGCCCTAAAGATGCCAGGCCAACTCTAGCTGAAGCTAATTAGGATTATGGTGTGGCAACACACATTGCTTCCCATATAGGAAACCTATAATCACACACCTCTTTACATATATTCTAGAATGAGGACAGAGAACCCTGACTAATTTGTTCACTGATATACTCCAATGTTTACCACAATATCTGGCATGAGGTAAACAAGTATTTCTTAAAGGAACACTGGCTATCAAGGACATGGCCACCCTCCCAACCAGGCCCATTTTTGCACCTCTGGCCATTTAGTATGTAACTCTGAAGCATTATCAGTTTAAATTGAGCC